CATTGATTTCCTGAAGACTTATACAAACCTTACCGTAGTTTCTACTTTTCTGGTTGAGGTAACACTACTACATGTTATTACTTTGCATAAATTAGTTGCCAGAAATGTTCCGCAGTATGGCTTTAAACTTATTTATCTGATATTTATTCAATTACATGTGTTTTTATGCTCAAAATACATTGGAAAAACACATGTTCTCACTTGAGGTGGGCTTGCCTCACTGCAGATCTGACCCATATCTTGGTCAGGTGGCATTCTTGTTTCCATGGAGATAGAAAGGCTGACTTTGACATTCAGACAACGCAATAAAAAACGTGTTATGAATCAGAAAAGTTACACAATGCTGTACCTCATTTCTAAAAAAATCTTTAAAATGTGAAAAACAGAAACAAAAAACAAACAAAACAAAAAAACACATTTGTTAATTTTTAAGCATTTGCAGTGGTCCAAAGTTATTCCTCAATTACCTTATGCATTCTAAGCATTCTATTTATTTGCTGTGTGTGAAGTTTATAAGTCCTTTTCTCAATCAGAGAGGAGAGGGGAGTTTCCTGTGACGGTAAAGCGAACATTTAAGATGCCAGCGTGCATTTCCTGATTATCTGACAATCAAACGCTTTGTAATTAGATGTCAGCAGAGCACAGTGGACTTATTTTAACCTCAGGAACTGCTTATAGAGTTTATCTGTGGGGCAAGGCAAATTTTACGTGGGATAAATCGGTAACAGGGGCCTTTAACCTAAACCCTCACCTTAACCTATTTTAAAGATGCACTGTGCAACCTTTCTGGTGGTGGCGGTGGGGGGGTCAGTCACCTGCTTGTCTCCATGGAGATGTTATTGCTATGTTCCACAGTATAGCGTCTTACTTACCTAGCTCCATGCAGGTCAAGTTACAGGTCAGATCTGTGGAGAGGTGATGATGCTCACAATAGATATGTGTGTGTTTTTCAAGGTATTTTTAGCAATTAAAACAAAAACAACAAAAAAAACGTGCACTTTTAACTATGGATGTAACAATATCCAAATCTCTAGTACGATATTATCACGATATGCATCTCTTTGTATTTTGAAGTGGCAAATATAATTTTAGAAACACTTTTTTTGCTTTTAAAATACCTTAACAAGATTTTGGCGTGAATTATTACTGTCATAATCTCAAGAATTCAAGTAAAAAACATATTTCTTCATGTTGTCTGCGCTGAAATGAATCATGGGATATGGAGTTTTCTATGTTTATTAGCTGTTCCTAGTAAAGTACAATGCATTTAAACAAAGGAACCGATAATCTGATATATTGTGACACCTCTCGATATTATTGTAAGACTTCTGACGATATGATATCACGATATTTCGGTTATTGTTACACCCCAACCTTCAACCCATATTTGAACTTTGAATTGTGTTGATGAACTTATAATTAAAGAGTTTACTTTGTGGACTTGATTTTCGTCCCCATAAGAGAAGCAGGTTTTGAGTGTGTAAGCATGTCTTAGTCCGCACAATGTTATAAACCGCCGCCCACATATGCACGGGGGAGACTCGCTGCTCCGGAACCCTCTGCACTGGTACCATGAGTCACCAGTCTCAGGGTCAATGTCCCATACACAGGAAGGAGAGGAGGGAGGGGAAAGGAAGGAGGGAAGAAACAGGTGACAGTATTTGCACCTCACTCTTCCTTCTCTGTTTGGGGAGCAGTGAGGTGAAAATTCTGGGAAACAAGTGTATAGGAATGATGAAAGGGAATGCTACAGCTTGGAATTATCCTCTGGAGATTTCAACACTTGTATTATTTATTTGCCTTGTGAAAAGTGATAAAGGGAATATATCTGCAGGACATTATGTGTTCTTTACCTCAAATGAAAAAGCAAAAGATAACAGAAATACAGTTAAACAGTTGAAGTAACACGCTATACAAAATGTACATAATGACGGCATTGACATTATCAGTCAATTTCAATGTGATGACAAGGCTGAACCCAGTGTTATCCACTGAGCATCTCCACTTACAGAAATGATTAACACTTGATTTTGAAAATATAATCTTAACGTGTGTAGAATACCTCAGTCGCTCAAGTAGAATCCATGGCAAAAGAAGAAATCAAATACAATTTTTGTCAACTGGATAAAAGTTTATTATATATTCAACCAAAATAAACTTTTGCCCAGTTGACAAATTTACTTTCTTCTTTTGCCATAATCCTGACACTAACCCTGAGGTAATTCATTGCTTCCACCATTCTAAATGTATTTTGTATTTCCTTCAGATGCAACATAGGAATATAAGCCATAATGTTACGCAAACTGTGTGGTTGTCACTGTCTCTTTTCCTCTGTTGTGAATAAGAGATTATAATATTAATGAGTACATTTTTTTCTCTTTTTTCTCTCTCTTTTTCAGATCTCTGAACCAAAGACGAATCACAAGAAAGAACAGTCAAGATAACCACCTGCCTTCTGATTGAAGATGAACTTGGTCATTCCTGTTCTGTTGGATTTAATGTGGTGTGCAATATCCTTGTTGGACCGTTGCCATGGCGATTAACAGTGTAAAACAAAATATAACTTTTCTAGAGGACGGTCCATCAAATGCTTGTCTTCACGGAGATGTTATTGCTTTGTCTGGAATGTTTCACAGTATGGTATTAAACCTTTCTATCTTCATGGAGACCAAACTAGACCAAGTTACAAGTCAGATCTGTGGAGAGGCGACCCCGCTCACAGTCAGAACGCCTGTTTTTCTAGGTATTTTTGCGCTATAAAACTACCTGTAATTGAATAAACGTAAAGTAGAGCTGTTTAACATCATACAGTGGAACATTCCAGGCAGAGCAATGACACATCCGCAGAAACAAACAGGTGACGGACCCACAACCAAAAAGTTCCACAGTGCGCCTTCAAGAGTGAAAGTTAAGGTAGCGACGAAGGTAGACAGTCATTAAGTTAAGAAGATATCAGTGTACGTTTAGTGTCTTTACCTTGAGTCTAAGTCGTCTCAGTCTGATACAGGTCTGTGCTTAACCCTGTGTCTGTAAACACCACGAGGATAGGGCCCCATGATCTCCTCTGAAACTATAAGTAAATTATGAATATGTAAACAGACAGCTCCCTGATTTCAGTCGTTGCTTCGTCAGACTTTTGTACTTTTATTTTTTTTATATTTCTTGTGATTTTTTTTGTTCTGACTGACATGTTATCCAGTTGTTTATAGTGATTTACACATTTCTGATGCAGTTTAAATTAGGTTAAGAACATTAGCAGTATCTGATGCAATGTTTTACTCTATAATATCAATGAATATGCTGCTTAACACTTCAATATTATTAATTTGTCATGAAGGTAAGTATTGCCAGTTATACTCTGTTACTGTATTTGTATTTTGTGCATTGATTATGTCCTTAGTAAGAAAAATAAATAAATAAAAAAACACCTTGTCTGTTTTTGTTTGTTTTTGGATCAACTAATTACAAGATGCAAGCGCCAACAGTTTTAATTTTAATTTTAATTAGCTGAGTAGTCTACTTTAGTTCTAACCTATGGCTAAACAGAATGAGTGGTCAGAACACGGACTTGTTTACGAGGGTCAAAATAGATTTCCTGAAATAGAAAAGTACAATGAGGCTGAAATGTTATAAAATACAGTGGTGACCACACTAAGCCCATGACTGCCCCCTAGAGGAGAGGACACATAAACGATGTATTTGAGTGCACAATGTGTAAACCAAGTGAGACTTTGGATCAAATGTTTTGCCAGTAACTTCACTTTATCTGTCAGAAAAAGAATTGCCTCACAATTACTTCCAATACTCGACGACGCAGACATAATTTATCAGAACACCTCAGCATCTAACCTTTGATTGTTAGATTTATAACAGTATATGTAGGTTTGTATTAAGATGTCCCTATAGAACACAGCACTTAACTGTCAAATGTATTCATCGCTCAACTGACTCTCTCTTACATCCAGAACACAGTTACACTTTTTGCAATTTGTGTTTAAATGTTATTACTCAAAGTTCCCACCTTACTTAAAAGAGTTTCTGATTCCATTTAGATCAGCATATAATTTACGTCACACTGAACAACTATTTTTTAATGTTCCTATTATTAAAAAAATAATAATAATAATTGGTCGCAGAGCATTTAACTTCAAGTCCCCAAATGAATAGAACAACTTCCCCTCCTCAATCCGATCAATCACATCGATCCACCAGTTTAAGGCGTCAGTCTTCAGATACAAACAATCATCCTGCTCCTGTTTTCCATAAAAATACATTTTTGTTCTATGTACATTCTGTTGTACATAGAGTTGCTTTCTTCACTAATTTACAAATATAAGTGTGGCGATGATAAAATCAGAGACATGTATATCTTAGGATCCTGTATTGTATAGTATCATTGCTGTCTGTGTGTTGTGTGAATGTTGTCTGAGTTGTGTTTGTCTTTTGTTCTGTTTTGATTTGTTTTTTCTTTTTTTTTCTGTAAATGCTACTTATGTTAATGTATTTAAAATATAAAGTATCAAATAAAGGTAAAAACTTATCTTACCATATCTTTGTAAATAGTTATATGGTCATATAGTTATTATTTTGCCTAACAGTTAACATAATTTAGGTAAAGATGATAAAGAGGTAAAAAAAAAAAAAAAAAAAAGTGAGCAGAGTAAAAGGAAATGAAATAGAAGTGAACTCTGCCTGGTTTTAATATCTAAATATACATATAGTTACCTCCACCATACTTTTACGAGTACGTTCATACACATGCCTCAGAAAAATTAGGACTAAACTTGAATTAAACCCGAAACTAAACCCGGATTAGACTAAAACTAAACTAGAACTCGAACAGGCCCAAATGAAACGTCTATATCAGAACAAAACTGGGCACAAATCAGACGTGTGAATGCACCCTGTGGATTTTTAGCTGTACAAGTGGCAAGATAAGAAACAACCCAATGGCGCCATCTGCTGGTTTAAATGGGAGATAAACTGCATCAACACAAACGTCATGTGAATTGCTTTTATTGAGTTTGTAGAGTTGGGTTAATGTGTCATTTGATGGTGAAAATAAAATCTGATAAAAATGTAATGTCAAATTCTAACATGACCAACTACTCCCGCTCTGCGATGGTGATGAGATGTGCCTCAATCTCTGCCTCTGTGAGTGTTCTGAGAAAAAAGAAAGAAATATTAAAATTGTCAAAAGTCACACGGGGATGATTATGCTGTAAATAATTACCACAAAAATCTTAAAATTCCAGTTCACTTACTAAACAATTGCAGAATAATTACCTGAATTTAGGTTTGTCTTTGGTGACCACTCCAATCTCCAGTTCGTTGGCCTTAAAGTCCAGACACAGGACTGTGGACAGACAGGAGATGGCCATCTACAAACAGACAGAGAAGCTTTTTCTTACAGACCTCACATAACAATATAAAAATTCACAATTAAATACTCTGAATTGTATTATTACAGGTATCCTGAAATCTTTTCATAGGGTTTTAGAACAGTGCACTGTTGACAATAGTGCTTTTTTTTTTAATCTGTTTCTGAAACTTTATAAACCACAAAGTTATTAAAACATTTGGCAGAATCTTGCATTTTAAATGATGTGTTAGAACTCTTAATATTTAAATTTTTCGAAATGTTTATGGAACAATGAATGGAAACTTTTAAAAATATATTTTTTCAATAATGTTTCAAGAGATTTTCAACTAAGGTCAGAGATAACATTATAATCCCATATTTATTTGTTTGTATTTACACTAATCACCTTCTGCAGACATGTTGGTGTAGTTTGTACCTGCACAGTGCGGTCATGGGTCAGCTCAGGTTTCTTCTTGAGTTTCTTCTCCAGGTAAGTGTTAGCTTCTGTCTGTTTAGCCCCGACCGCTGTGGCCCTGAATCCACAGTAATAACCAGCTGGGTCACACTTATACAGCACAGGGCCCTGCTGGGGGTCTATGGCTGCTAATATCATACCTAAAGATGGAAAATACAAAATACATGGATAAGTGGTTATACAGTTATGTGTATTAGTGTATTGATTACCAGTGCCATACTCACAGCAGCCCAGTGGCCTCATCTCTGCATTCTGAGTGTAGACCTGTGAGATATCAGCCAGTCTCCGACACAACACGTCTGCAGTGATGTCATAACCAAACTTATACTTCCACTCCCCGGCCTCCACTCGAGCCCTGTGCACCTGGGAACGACTGTCCCCTACAACACAAAACACACATTCAGAGGTGGAATGTACTTAAAAGTGCTGCATGTAACTCGCCATGGAGTTGTTATTGCAGTATGACATTAAACATATTATACAGATATACACATAAGCTTATGGCACCAAGGCCAAGTAACAGATTAAACCTGTAGAGAGGTGCACAGAATAATATATGTTTAATGCCATACTGTGGAACTTTTCAGGTAACATTTGCATGTAGACAAGCAAATAGTTGACCCCATAACATTAGTCAAAAAACCTTAAAGGTAGTAGCATCAATAAAATGAACACAATTCTTCATGTAACTTTGTAGTACAAAAACACCCTTATGTAAGTATTAGTAGCAGTAATACAAAATGCAGCACAACACACTTCATTAACCTTGCACATTGTAAACCATTTCCTATTGTTGAATTGCACACACACGACATATATTATGTGATTTGTTCCGAGTGCCTTTACATTGTCATCAGGGTCACTGAGGGGAAGCTGACCCAAGGTGGTCAGAATATGAGACAGACTTCAAACAAGTCTGCCTCATACCAGACAGTGTTTATTAAAAGAATAATACTTTGTTATGAATGTAAAATAACTTAATTACAAAATAAACAGTTACAAACAACTAAACAAAAATCTGTAAATTAAAGGTGAACAGTGGAAGTTTTCTGATGCAGGATCAGCCACGTGCTTGGAGATATGGATGAAGTTTTGCTTTGCCAGGAATGTTCCGTGGTATGGCATTAAACATATCCATATAGCATTTATTCATTATGAGTGTTTCTATTGCTGAAAAATACAATAATTCCTTCTGTTAATAGGAACGACTCTACAGAACTGAATAGTAATGTAGCATAGTGCTGGGTAGATTTAGTCTATGCTGTGGAACATTCTAGACAAAGCAATAAGTTTTCCATGGAGGCAAGCTAGTGGCAGCCCCTCCACGTTTACACACCCACCTTTAAATAAAATCCAAACAACCCCACGCACACAACTACACTGAAGCGTCTCACTGAATTCAGCAGACAGCCTTTATACCTCATCTGTTCAACTGAAATGAATTGGCAAATAAAGTCAATTTAAATTAACAATGTGATGTGTGATAATTTAACAAAACAAGAACCCAGGAATGTACGTTAAGGTGTGAAGCTGGATACGGCAAATGAAAATAATGGGACAAAGTAGCCACAAAAATGCAGATCATGAAAACTTGGCAAGTTAACTGAACTGAATATTGCTGCATTGTGTATTTTTGTTGTGTTCTTTTGTGAGTCATTTCCAATATTCTTGTACAGCTGTTGTCAAATACTTACAAATACTTCTATATATTCTAAATTGTAATTAAATTCAGCAAACACAGCACTAACTACTAAAACTAAATTCTAAATTCCTGAATAAGGGGTAGGAAAATATGTCTTTTTAATTTCTTCCTACTCCTATTGAGCAACTCAGCTATGTACTTAAAAGGTGCACTGTGTAACTTTTCTGGTGTCAATGCTCTGCCTGAAATGTTCCGCAGTATGATATTAAACAGTTCTACTTTACATTTATTTAATTACAGATGGGTTTATAGCTCAAAAATACCTAGAAAAACAGGTATTCTGACTGTGAGCGGGGTTGCCTCTCCACAGATCTGACCTAGAACGTGGTCTGGTTTGGTCTCAATGAAGATAAAAAGATTTAATACCATATTGTGAAACATTCCAGACAAAGCAATAACATTTCCACGGAGAAAAGCTACACAATGCACTTTTAAATCAATATGCATTTACTGTAATGTATGGAAAATTATGCTCAAATAAATATAATAAAAACCCACTTTGTTACAGGGACTCACCATTGTGTCCGGTCATCACACAGCCGATCCTGGGCGTGAGATTGAACATGTTGGTCACAGTGGTCGAATCCAGAAGCTTGTCCTGCACATATAGTAGTTTTATTTTACACTGACGGGGCACGCAATAAACTGCTATGTTATGTGATAAAAATGCTCACTTTACATTAGGGCTGCACAATATCAATCAAATCAAAATCACAATTTCAGTTCGCACGATCATTGTTGGATTATCTTCGAAGTAAAATAGACCGATACATGTTTTTCATTGTTTAGAATAGATGTGACAATGGGAAATGTTTAAAGTTAATGAAGGCACAAGAGAGATATTGTAATACACATGTGGCTTATTGATTGGTGACTTGGTTTTGTTTTTGGAGTGGGGAACGATTATTAACAAAATATAAAAAAAATTTATCTGTGAAAGGAGCAGGGTTTATAAGATTTATCTTCCTGTTCCTTTTGTTCATGCAGCAAAGACAAGGCAAATAATCATAGAAATATGTATTTATGTTCATTTTTAGATTTTTTATTTTTATTATATATATATTTTTTGTTGTTCACTTTAATTTGATGCCAACAAAAGAATAGCATGAGCAATAATCCAGAGAATCCAATGGCCGATAAGCTCTGCCGATATTTTGGGGCCAATATGTGAGGCCAATTTTGATTATTTTCCCCAAATTCTGTAATTTAAATCTACACCAAATTTTTTACCGCAGGCCTGTTGGAGAACAGTGTAGTCACATTTTTCAGCACTGAAGCACTAAAGTAAGTAAAGTAAACAACATATCGGCCCGTGCTGGAGATTTAAGCCCGATTGTCGATATGGTAAAAAGTCCAAATATCGGCCAACAGATACTACTACTCTTTTATATTTATATTTATACAAGAATTTTATATTTCTTGTCTCTGATCTTAATGCTCCTGAAAAATCCAACCTGTGTGTCTCCAAGTTATGGCCATACTGTGGAACATTCTAGGCATATCTCCATGGAGACAAGCGGGTGACGGACCCTCCAGCAGACAAGTTACACAGTGCACCTTTAAGTCTTTTAATATATTATTATTTATTTTGCATTCATTCATTGCATGCATTCTTCTGTATTCTCCTGCTGTTCTTGAACTTTGCATTACAACACTAATTTCCCCATTGTTGGACAAAAAAAGGTTTTTCTTATCTTAATTAGTAGCTCAAAATCAGTGAATCATTTTGGAATAATGTAATTGCTGGTGTGTTATGATTGTGATTAACTTAAAAACATCGGGGAGATAGGAATAACCAAACTGTGATGGGCAGAATAATTTGAATCATGTATTTAGTTATAGAATACAGAATACCTGCATTAAAATGTATTTTAACGGAACGTACTAATGCATGGTCCAATACTGTATACTGAAAACTCTGACAACTTTTACATAGAGTTGTATTTACATTACAGTATAGCAACACAGGATTAAAAAATGCTTTATGTTGTTTCTGTTTGTTATGCTTTTACCACTAAATGGGTTTTATTCACATTATGTCACAATCAAGGAAGACATTTGGACACATGCGCTGACAACTTCCGGTGTTGTTCCCGACACTGGGCTCACTGACCGACTGATAAAACCAACTGAAGTAAATGTAATCATCAGTAAAATGAAGACTGCATATGTATGTGCTGTTTGGAATCATCTTGAATCTTCTAATCGCATGTACCCAGTGAGCTCAGCATCAGTGGAGAAATGATGAAAACTGAGGTATGGTTGTAATTGTTGATTAGCCTAACATAATGGAACACTACAATGACATGGAGATGAAGAAAACTGGGACATTTTCAAATTTTTTCCTAGATTTTGTCAGATTTACTTTACGAACAGAGTCTGCCGGACATTGTCATTGCATGTTTCCAAATGTCTTCCTGATTTGTGACATAAGCGTGATAAGAGCCCATAGAGAAGGAAAAAACACACATGCAGACGTTGTAAGAGCCATGTTGTCAGTTATTCTCACCAATATTGTACAGTTTAAATCCTAAATCGCAATCAAGAACCGCCATGTAATTTCTTGATTTTAGTAAAATAACTCTATTCTGAGTACCACCAAGTAAAAGTAACTGTACCGGAAAACAGTTACCCAAAATGAGTACTCTGAGTATGTGATCTTGGTATATGTATTCAGTTACTTCATAACACTGTAACTAATACAGTAATTGCATGCATTTCAATTTCAGGATTAGCAGAACTAGCACTACACTAGACGGTTCGCAAAAATCCTGGGAGTGCAAATTTTGGCACCAGCTAATCAGCGAAGAGTCATATATTCTGTGTTGACAAGCTGGAACAAAGAGAATGTTTGATGAATTTCATGAAGGGGAAAGACGTTATTGCCCTTGTTCCTATGGGATTGGGGAAAAGCTCAATATACAAGTTAGCCCCTTTAGTGGCACATTACATATCTGACTACCAAATAGCAGCGACTGGTTAAATGATCAAAAGTACCACCGACCGTCGAGCGAATGAATTCTTACACTGCGAAGTCAGACAGTTTCTGGTTTCTATGAAGTGAAACGAAGTGAAACTGGCTGATGAATCAGGCAATAGCAGAACTACACTTACAGGGACTTTCTTCTGTGTGACCACCACTACAGTGTCAGACCCCCGCACCCCCACTGTGGTCAGTCCGCTCTGGGAGATGGCTTTGAAGGCATACTCTGCAACAGAAAAGACATGTTAGAAATGAACATGATTCAAATACCTTACAGGAGTTCTTTGTAGAAGGATGCTTTTGCTTACTATCTAGAAGAGCAGTCTGTCAAAACCAGGAGTTAACCAGATATTACTAAGGACTAAATTAGGACAAAACTTGAGCAGTATAAACCAATCCGAAATTTGCTAGTTCATTCCCAGGTGTTTGCTACTCTTGTGTCCTTGAGCAAGTCACTTCACCCACCTTGCCTTTGCATAAATAAGACGTAACTAAGTGAATGAGCTGATGGCACACATTGGCGGCCTTGCTTCTGTCAGTCTGCTTCAGGGCCGTCGTGGCTCCACAAGCTGACCATGACCATGACCATGAGTGAACGAAGAATGATTACAAGCCAGTGCAAAGTAATCATCATTATAGTTGAATTAAGAACCACATGAGTTAAACTGAGCATCAAGGTAGTTAATGTCCACTCATTGTTAACCCTGTTACTGACTAGAGTGGAGTGGAATGTCCTGTCCTTAAAGCAGGGGTCTCCAACATTTTTCCTCCGGTGAGCTAAAAAAAAATGCCTGAGAGCTACTAGTTTTAGTTTTAGAAGTATCGGGTACAGTTAGATGTCTATAAAACATAAACCTTTATCCATGTATTAGTGTACAAAGTTAGGCATAAAAATAACACATGTACAATGATAATAGGAATTGAATTGATCAAATTTTACTTATTCAGGACAATACGTGTAATTCAGAAATCCCTCTGCGAGCTACCTGGAGGGGGGTGGAGAGCTACTGGTAGCTCCTGGGAGAGGTTGGAGACCCCTGCCTTAAAGCTTTCCCCCCCCTTAAAGGTGCACTGTGTAACGTTTGTGGTGGACGTCTGCTGCTATGGTGATGTTGGTTTGCCTGGAAAGTCTCATTGTATGGAGTTAAACTTGTCTATCTTGCAATTATGAATTACAGCTATTTAGTGCTTAAAACATAAAAAATAGTGGGTTTGCGCCTCTGCAGATTTTATTTGTAACTTGGCTTGGTGGTGTCACATACCACGAAGAAAGATAAGTTTGATGCTCTACTGTGGAACATTCATAACGTGTGCATGGATACAAGCAGGTGTTGGACCGTTCTCAGTTACACAGTGCACTTTTAAGGCCCGGGGTTAGAATGGGACCGTAGTTACAATGGCTTGGCTAAGTAGCACTAGTTTACTTGTGCTGGCTGCGTGAGCTATTCTTAGCAGCCTTTTGTTCCACCTGGAGGAGCCTGGAGCAGCTTACACAATTCAGGTGGTGGTGATAATAAATAATAATTGGCTTGAACTTGACTATTTTTAGACTCGAAGCGTCTTACCGACTTGGTAGAGGCGGCCCTCGGGTGAAAATATGGTGATGTGTCGGTCAAAGCCTGCGTTTGAGCCGCGGGACATGTCGCCGTCTCTCGTCCGACCTCAAATGAACTTACAGGATGTTGTTTGTGCGTAAAACTCAAAGCGCGTCTGGGTTACGGTTACTTACGCTTTTCTTTTCTTATTATAACGCCAAATATTGTAGTTTGTAAAAGAGCATGACTGTGCTACAATCTGGACCGCGTAGCTACTTCCTCAACGAATACTTTTTACTTTCTCTTTCATTTATTTGACGCGTAAGAGCGCTCCCTACTTGAATTTTATTGGACAGCACAATCAAGGAAGCTAGAATACCGGTCAGACGGGCTTTCAGCCATCACCCATGCCAAGAGCAGGACAGAGGTATGACGGGGAGACCGTGTATGGATGTTTGGGGGTGGGAGGAGTGGGTTAGACACTTGGACGTGCCGCCGTGTCGCTGTCAGTTCAGTGGTTCTGGCCCCAGACTCAAAGCAGCGATGGCGTCGCGTCGCGTGGGTTTCTGTCTGAGCGACAAGAAGCGCCGGAGGATGAACCTGGACGCCTTTTCACAGTTCTGTGCGTAAGTCCACGTAGAGAACTAACTTTTTTTTTTTTTTTACATTTTAAATCTGAATGAACTTTGCTGAATGTTGGAGCACGTGTAAAAATGTAAACAACTAAAAACGCACCTTCAGATCTTTTTAAATTATAGATTTTAATCGAACTTTAAAGGTGCACTATGTAGCATTTTTGGCTTGAACTCTATGGAGATGCTAATGTTTTACCAGGAATGTTCCACAGTATGACATTAATTTATCTACCTCAATGGAAACAACACTCACAGTAGAGGATAAATGTTAGCACTACAAACACCTAGGATTGAATAATGCAAAATAAACAATACCTTGAAATATTTTGGGCAAAGAAATAAAATCTTCATGGTGATGAGAAGGACTTTTAAAACTCAAAATTTCAATTTCAAGTGTTGAATATTGTCCAAAACATTAATTTAACACTCTCACTGTTTTCATTTCTGCTTACAGGGGCCATGGAATACAAGTAGTGGAGGTAAGGAGCTTTGATATCTAGATAAAATTAAATAAAATTGTTCATAATGATGTGGCTATTTGAAAATGAACAAAGTTTAATGCATTTAAAACACATTTATAATTTGTGTATTTTATATATTTACATTTGTAAGTGGATTCGTCACAAATGTCAAACACAGATGTGAGGAGTCTTTGCCCTCCATGTCACGGCCACCTGCAGCCACCTCCCATTGTACACTAAATAGATTCTCCTAAGAAAGGCTGTGTAATCTTACAATGAAGGTGACTGAAATTACTTAAAGAACTGGTTTAAAGATCCTTTATAATGCAAAATGGATTCTTGTGAGGTTTAAGCCATGTTATTATGTTGTTGCCTCATCGACAACATACCATTAGTTGTGTTTTGTTTCATTCACACATGACTGATTATTAATCTGTCTACATCTCTAAAGCTCACAATGCTCTGTTCAACCTTGTGATGTCATGAAGCAGTAGTTTTCAAGTCAGCAGCTACCTTTTACCTTCCTTTATTACCACATGACTTCACAAGTGGAGAGTTTGAGAGAAAAACTCAGCCTAAATATGCAGGATTTGCGTGTTAAACATGTGTGAATGAAATAAAACAAAATTCCATGTATGTTTGTGATGAGAAAACAACATTAAAACATAGATCAGAACTTAAAGGTTTTATTTTTCCAGATAAACCTGAGCCAACCTCTGGAGCCTCAGGGGCCTTTTGACATTATTGTTCACAAACTGTCTGATGTTATAGTGGAGGCCGAACATGACAACCAATCACAGCTGCTCCTCGCCAACTTCCAGGTAAAATACATAAAATACATTAACATTGCTAATAGTTAACATTAAGTACAATATTTATATAGTAGTATATGCAAATGAAAAATTGTGAATTAGAGGTTCTACTCATTAAAAAGCTGGGTATACTGTGAAAATATAACTTAATTAAACTGCTGAGGGATAACATCGGATTCATATGATTTAATGTAATCATAATTTTAACCAAGACATATGTATGAGGGTTAATGAGGAGTGTATTTAATAAAGTTTGACACTTGAACTCATGAAAAGATGAGGAAAGAGAAGGGGGACGATGAGAGGAGTGAGTGAAGGAGACAATGATTAGGAGACTGAAGGGGATGATGAGGACAGTGAAGGGAATGATGAGAGGATGAGGAGATTGAAGGGGATGATGAGAGGATGAGGAGAGAGGAGAGGATGAGGAGAGAGAAGGGGATGATAAAAGGATGAAGAGAATGAAAGGGATGAGGAGAGGATGAGAAGAGTAAAGGGGACGATGAAAGGATGAAGAGAATGAAAGGGATTAGGAGAGGATGAGAAGAGTGAAGGGAACAATGAATGGATGAAGAGAATGAAAGGGATGATGAGAGGATGAGGACAGAGAAGGGGAAGATGAGAAGATGGGGAGAGAAGGGGACGATGAGAGGATGAGGAGAGTGAAGGAGACAATGAGAGGATGAGGAGAGTGAAGGAGACAATGAGAGGATGATGAGAGTGAAGGGGATGATGAGAGGATGAGAAGAGTGAAGGGGTCGATGAGAGGATGAGAAGAGTGAAGGGGATGATGAGAGGATGAGAAGAGTGAAGGGGTCGATGAGAGGATGAGAAGAGTGAAGGGTACAATGAGCGGATGATAAGAGAGAAGGGGGACAATGAGATGAGAGGACGAGGAGAGTGAAGGGTTCGATGAGAGGATGAGAAGGAGACAATGAGATTATGAGGAGAGTGAAGGCCGATGATGAGTCGATGAGAAGAGTGAAGGGAACGATGAGAGGATGAGGAGAGTGAAGGAGAATGATGGTGAGCAGCAGGGAGGAGTATTTGGAGGGAGGTGATGAAGGTTGAGGAGCAGGTAAACTCTGGAGAAGCTTTAAGGCGGATGGGAGCGAATTTAGGTCTTACAAATCTTAAAAAATATACTCCCAATGTTTGGTTTCTAATGTTTCTTTGACAGAAGTACGTGTCAGCCCACCCTCACACTGTCATCCTGGACCCTCTACCCGCCATGACCCAGCTCCTTGACCGCTTCGCCTCGTATCGCATCATGAGCAAACTGCACAACTCACTCAGAGGTACACACTGTAGGACTGCTCAATGTATAACACAATGAGAATTACATTTATCTGGATTATAACTGTAACTAGATACTAATTTGAACACATATTAATACTTTTAATGGGTCTTTAGTACACAAAATTGACTCTTGTGAGCTTTAAGCCATGTTATAATGTTGTTACTTCCTCAAAAACATACTCAGAGTTGTGTTTTGCTTCATTCACACATATTTCAGTAATCTTGGTTTATTAGTTTGTCTGCATTTCCAAACTCTTCAGGTTAACAGCTCCCTTTTGTTGAGTAGAGATTGGCAATTCCAGGGCTGAAATGTTCCAACTGATTCTGGTGAAAGTGTATTGAGTTTAAAAACACCGTGGAGAATTTTCTATTTTTCTATTTGAGAGAAGATCTCAGCCTAAATTTGCAGGGTTTGTGTGTTATATGTGTAAATGAAACACAACTCCAGGTTTCAGATAAAGAGAAAGGGTAGGGCGTTTTACTAGGTCAGGGGGCTCCAACCTTTAGCTCGGGATATACCAGTAGCTCTCCACCACCTTCCAAGTAGCTCGCCAAGGGATTCAATTCTATGTATTGTGGATAAAAAGCAAAATTTGAATAATTACTGATTAACTAATTATAAATATATATTTTTGATGCCTAACTTGGTGCACCGATAAATGGATAATGGTTTACCCATCTAAGACTTGCCATGCTCTTATATTTACTCGGCTTCTTTGCGACTGCTGAAATTGGCTACATTCTGTTGAGACAACTCCAGGTATATTTTTGATAAGGAAACAACATTAACATAAATCAGAAAATAGTGTATATGGGTCCTTTAAGTCCTATTTAATTTACTTTCATTTGTCCAGACTGGCACATCTGCAGCCCTCCATACCTCGAGGTCCCCAGTGACTCCGACCTGTCGTCCATCCATCGAGCCGTGAAAGAGCACAGCCTCAGCTTTCCTCTTAGTCAGTTCACTCTGTCACGATTTCAGTTGTTTGTATTTTTACTTTATTTTATGTTTTGTTTTTGTTTTTTTTTCTCTCTCTTGATTATAGTTTGTAAAACAAGAGTGGCTCACGGTTCCCTTTCTCATGAGGTAAGTGGCACATACTTTTTACCAAATTTAATTCAAAGGTGCAGGTTTATTTTTTTCAGTGGAGTTTATTTATATCATTTTATTTATAAAATATATAAAGACATCAACAGTGTCATAATGTTAAATATACAACAAATGAATGAAAAGGAGCAGAAAGAAGAGTAATATTATATATTATATAATATTATCTGCCTCCATTTCTAGACAACTCTTTAACACTTTGAAATGAAATGTATTGACATGTTTTAATCACTGACTTTAACTTTACTTTATGAAGATTTTATGTATTTCTTAAATGACAATATTCTTCTCAGTCCTTTGATTTCTCTGTCAAGACTATTTCATAAATGAACTCCTTTCACAGCAATACTTATCACCTGAGATGTTTGATATAGGATTAAATTTACCTATTTTACATTTATTCAGTTACAGGTATTGTTCAAAAATACTTGCTATGAACATGCTTTCTATGAAAGGGCTTGCCTCTCCACAGTTCTGACCTGTAACTTGGCTTGTTGGCCTAACCTCTGGTCTGTACTGAAATCGATTAGTTTAATGCTATACTGTTTCACATTTCAGGCTGAGCAATAATCTATCTCCGTTGATAGACACCAGAAAGTGTTGATTTAGTTGGAAATACAACAGGTGAGATGATGTGTGCTGTTAAACAAGTCTCACACACATAAAACTACAGTCACAAGACAGATAGCATCAGCAAACAGTTTTTCAGTTACTCTTACCTTTATGTTGAAAAGCAATCTCCTAAACAGAAACAAGAACACTCATATTGATCACAGGTTCCTGAAAATGTGCTGTTTAAATCCATTTTGTATTTACTGCATGCATTATAATACACCCCCAGTGTGATATCACTGCAAAGTATCAATTGGAAATGTTCTTCTCTCACAAACAAAACATTATGCCATTTAATCGCATCTGTCTCATGTTTCTCTCTCTCAGATGTCCCTGATCTTCAGTGAGGGGGGGCTGGCTGATGTTCACCCTCCCTGTATCCTGCAGAGTTTTGTGAACCACGGAGCTGTTCTACACAAAGTGTTTGTGATCGGAGAAAGGCACTTCTGTGTGGAGAGACCCTCACTCAAGAACTTCCCCTCTGGGCCCTGTGGTCAGTCTCACACACTCTTATTTTTTTTACTAGAAATGTTATGTTGTGGAATCGTCAACACAAAGCAATGACATCAACATGAACTGAGGCAAAGAGTAACGTACAAATCCTACCTTTTATACTGCACTGTTTATGTCGAGTTAACCCAACCGTTATCTTAATTAAAGAGCCATTAAACTCTCATAAGCAAAATCTTATGGGAGTTTAAAATATATCCTCCAGAGTGGGCAGTTCCCAGCAGGTTTGGGAGAGCAGGTGTGGGGCAGGCTCTGGAGAGATGATTGACAGCCAAGTGACAGCCACAACAATCCAACATGGCATGGACTGGTGCACTCCGGACTTTGGAACATAGTGGACATTTGTGCCAGGGCTAAGCTTGTTACGTAATAACCTGCATCTGACTCATTTGTGGCTGTTAGTCTAACCCGAAAATTCAAATGTCCTGGCCGTAGTTGACCCTAAAGAGGCAGTGACAGACACGACTTTTGACCCTAAAGTCTGATTTTTAACAAATATGCACTAAAATTCCAAAATAAGGCCAGGGATAGGTATATATTTTTTATTTTAAACCCATTTTTACACCTGATCAGTAGAAAAAAGTGATTTTGGTGTTTACTGGCCCTTTAAAAACAACATGGACTTAAGTAGGTTATGATGTTATCTAAAACCCATCATCAGCAGACTCAAATACACAATTTCACATTGATATGTAATTTTTTTTTCATACCAAGGTTGTTGTTATTTTTTTACAGACAGAAAAACAATATTCTTCAACAGCCAGCAAGTGTCCAAACCAGAGTCCAGCTCAGACCTGAATGCAGTAAGTACATTTAAGACACATGTTGATATATTTTATTTTGTCAGTCCTATAGATTTTATTTTATTTTTGTCTTTTTACTTACTTGTACATATACATATACATTTGTATAATTACAGTGCCTTACTTGACACCAGTCTCTTGCTATAATTTATTGCTACTTATTTAGAAGTTTTATTCCCATTTTTACTTTTTTTAAAACTCTTTGTTATTGTAATAGGCTCTATTCATGTTTACATCACAAACCAGGAAGACGTTTGGAAATATGAGATGACAACCTTTGGGCTCTGTTCGCAACAACATCTCGGAAAAATGAGAAAATGGTCCAGTATTCTTCCCCATCTCCATGACATTGTAGAGTTCAGTTATGTTCGGCAAGTCAACAGTTATAACCATACCTCAGTTTTCGTCATTTCTCCACTGACACACAACTCCGAGCGCACTGGGTACATGCGATTAGAAGAGATGAGACGTCAAAGTGAAGATGATTCCCAACAGCACATAAGTATGCAGTCTTCGTTTTACCGCTGATCACATTTATTTCAGTGGGTTTTATCACAGTTGGTCGGCTAGTCCAGTGTTAGTAACTACTATACACCATAAATTGTCATTGCATATTTCTAAATGTCTTCCTGGTTTGTAAAATAAGCATGAATAGAGCCAATACAATAATTTCTCTTTTGGATCAATAAATTCTCAGTCTAAATTAAAGATTATAGATTAGCTTTGTTATTATTACTTTGTTATTTTTACTACACTAAAACAATGTATACACTAAAACTAAACTAATATTTAATCTCTGTATTTGTTCTGTAGCTGGATGAGAAGATGCCGTTGCTGCCCACGCCCAGCTCTGAGGCGCTGGCTGCCCTGGTGAAGGAGCTCAGGGCTCAGCTGGAGATGGCTCTGTTCGGGGTGGATGTGATAGTGAACATCCACACTCACACCATGACTGTCATAGACCTTAATATATTCCCAGGTAAAGGGTCTATTGAAAGTGTATGGAGTTTAAAAACACAGTGGAATTTGAAAAGAATAACAGTGTTTGTGTGTTTAACATGTGTGAATGAAACATAACACAACTCCAGGTCTGTTTGTGATGAGGAAACATTATAACTAAGATCAGAAAATAGAGTAATGTGGGCCTTTTAACACTAACTATTCTTGTTCTATTCTTGTGTTGAAAATTACATCCTATTGTTGGAAAAATACACTTTTTCTTATCAATTGGTATTGAGTATATGGTCTTGAAATACTTTTCCCAGGTAAAACACTATGAGTTATTGGACAAGAGATTGGTTGTGGCCAGAAAGGCTACAGAAATATTTGTTCCCCATCTCATCTATTTAGAGAATGTCACACTTCATCTTAGAGCTCAGCTAGTTTTATTACAATTTCCAGTTGTTGAATGCCCCCCTAATCTCAGTAAAGACATAAAGAAGCATAAAAAATGTGTGTTTTGAGTAAACTGTTTATAGATCCTATTTCGTATAAAATCTATGAGCTCAGTAAATTGGTTAGTAGAGAAAGAGAAAGAGAAACTTTATTGATCCTAAGGGAAATTCAAGTTTTGCCGCTTCTCAGATGCCTGTGTGTCTCAAAGGTCTCAGTGCAGTTTAACAGGAAGACTGGTCAGGTAGGGTCAGCAGATCTGTGTCTGGACAAACTGAGAAGAAGAAGTATCAAAAGTGTCTCTCCTCTGTGTCTCGCAGCATTACAGCAGCCTCTAGGGGGAGCCAGGTGAACAGTATTGTATAGTAGTCCTAGTTAAGTTCCTTTATACCAGGGGTCATCAAACTAAGGCCCACGGGCTGACTCTGGCCCACCACGCCCCTTTGACCGGCCCTCCAGACCCTCAGCCCCCCACCACTTGAACTGGCCCTATGAGGCAGTCCTCAAAAGTTCTCATTTTTTATTACTTTTTGGCAAATAATAGTACATCTGCATTTTATTGATTTATTGGTGATATTTATATGAAGTATTTATATTTATATTTAATTGCACTACAGAAAGTTGCTTGTGTGTTTGATTTTTGCTGTTTGATCTCGAGCTTGTCAGGTGACGAAAATTTGGCAGCAAAATCAGCGGCAAATGTAAATATGTCATATAATTATTTAAGGACAGCAAAATGGCGAGTGTACGAAAAGTTGACAGAGAGTGCCGAGTTTTCAAAGAACAGTGGATGGCCGATTATTTTCTTTTTTGTTCAGTGTAAGGACTGTGCACTTTGTCTGATTTGTAAAGAAAGTGTGGCGGTTTTCAAAGAATATAATCTGCATCGTCACTACAAAACCTACCACAAAGAGTATGCTAGCTGGCAAGAGCAAACGAGAGAAGATAGGAAGGCGGACTTGTTTGCTCAACAGCATGTATTCTTTCATCGGCCTACCCGACCACAGCCCCCGATGACAGTCAGGAGCGATAATGTGGCCCCCAGAGAAAAAAGTTTGGTGACCCCTGCTATATTTATTACACTTTCACAACTTTTTGAGGTAATCATCCGATGCAGTGTCTGATCCATACTTTGAGAAACAATCCTGTTCTAATTTCTGTGTAAATAACAAAATGGACATATGTTTGTTATGTGTAGGTTATGAAGGCGTGCCCCAGTTCTTCTCATCTTTACTGGACCACATTAAGACTTTGCTGGACAGTGGACCCTCTGACCCTCAGGTGACCACCTCCAACGAGTCCTCTATTACCAACAGCATTTAACTGCACAGTGTTTAATATAGGACAAACTCTATTCACTTTATTTAAACAAAGCTATTCTCTGCTTCTGAGTAGAAATTATGCATTAGAAAAAGCTTTGTCAATGATTTCAGCTTCTGCTGTTTACTTTACTTTGGGTTATACTACAGTAAAAATGTAAATAATCGGAATGATATTGTGGAAAAAATTGCTTATGGGTGTAAGCTTGGTTTTAATTATATTCTATCCATGCTAAGATTAAACTGAATGTGAAAATAATGTAATTTTAAAATGAAATCAAAATGAAGTTGTATCTTTTCTCTGTATCCTTATTTGTTGACAAAAGCGTATACCGCCTACAGCTCTCTGATTGGCCAGTATTGGTGTTTGTTTGTTCACTTTTGTAATTCATCTCATTGTGTTTTTATTTTCTCCAGTCCAACATAAAAATAATGGTTTCTAATGCGCCAGTAACTCACATTTTGACAATATTCTAGTCTTACCATATGTTATTCTGTATGTCACAAGATCTTGACTGTGTATTTGAAACATGAGCTCTATACAATGCACTTTATTTAGCAAAAAAAAGTGTCTGAATAAAAGAAAATATCAAATCATATGCATTGTCTTCACAAATACTGAGCATTCATACATTTTCAAAGTGCACATCAGTAGCTTGTCCAGTAGAGGGCGCCGTTGGATTATATCATTTTCTAAGGTAAGTATAAACAAAAATGACACCAGTTAGCAATGGAATTCTTGTTGATCGAGTGTAACTGTATTATAATTTTGACAACATTGATGGAAAAACAAAAGTGCCTATTCATCATTATTAAAAAAAAAAAAAAATGAGCCAAATTTGCAGTATGTAGTATAAATTAGGAATGAGCACAATAAAGGACTACCCATGTTTTTAGAGATAAAGTTGTACAGATTGGGAAAGTTTGGACACATACAGAGAAGGTATTGTGAATATATTGGTTGAAGGACACCGAGATTTGAGTAACCAGGAAACAGGAGGCCTATTGTCACCAGCATAACTGTAGGCACTGCTCTGTCTGGGGCCTGTTAGACTTGAATATGGGTATGATTTTAACACAATCTGAACAGAAAAAGATACACCTGGGGCTGCTAAACAAGTTCCTCTCAAATAACGTTGCAAGATAGTAAGCATGAGCCAGCACCTCACCAAACTCTCACCTTTTTTTTGAAAAATCAAACCCTGTAAACCGGACTATAAAAGCTTGTACTGATCACAGGCTCCTGAAGATGTGTTTAAAGGTGTACTATGCAACTTTTCTACCTACATTTACTGGACTCCAAGGAGATATTGTTGCATCTCCTGAAATTTTGAACTGTATGCTATGAGACATTTATTAAAAACAGGTTTTTATCTTACTAAAAAGTCCTTGGAAAAGTGTATTCTAAGTGTGACTGGGTCGCCTCCCCACCGATCTGAGCTGTAACTTGGCTTGGTTGTGTCAGCTACTTGTGACCATGGAAATAGATGAGTATAATGCAAACTGTGCAACATTCCAGGCAATGCTATAATATCTCCACAGAAACAATCAATTTTGTATTTTTTACAGTTTCTATTTTCAGATGATCTTAATTTTTTATTTTTATTTTTATTTTTTGACAATGTTAAAGGGACAGTTCGAAATGTTGGCTATAGGGCCTCATTTCCTAGTTATCCAGAGAAGTGTGTTGGAGATTTTTTTAAATATTATACCCAGTCCTTGTATTTGCAGAGGTCACTGGTGCTAGACTAGTGCATGTCAATGGCCATAGTTCTCCTGCCACTAAAAACAGTCTTACCCACTCCACAAAACACCTGAAGCAAATCTATTATTACGCCAGACTGTCAATGTAAATGTCAGTGTTGATAGAATAATTTTAGACTTAAAAACCAACCTTGCGTTTGAAGGATTTATGTCTGAGCAGCAGCAGCGAATTGTACTTCCTGATAGAAAGCTTGGCAGTGGCTGACTGATATATGAGAAAATAGTCCCTCAACATGTGACAATTCATGCGATGCAAGGTTAGTTTTATTTATTTTTTTAAAATATTCAATTGGCACAGACATTCACATCTTCAGTTTGGCATAATAATAGATTTGTTTTGGGTGTTTTGTGGAGTGGGTAAGACTGTTTTTACTGGCAGGCTAACTATGGCCATTGACATGCACTAGCCTAGCACCAGAGACCTCTGCAAATACAAGGACTGGATGGAATATTTAAAAAAGTGTCTCCACACTTCTCCAACATTCTGGCTAAGTCGGAAATGAGGTCCTATGTCAAATTCCAGACTGTCCCTTTAATGCTAATGTCTGCATTGTGTCACCATGATAACCTTGAACTTTCCCTATAAAGATACACGCAGAACACCCTCAGCATGCTGTCAGTATTAAGTATAAATATCAAACATTTAAAGGACTGTTCACTTTTGAATTGCTATAATATTGTCTAAAAATCACAAGAGGGATATTTCCCAAAAAATCTCAATCTATATTTTAATCTATTTATCCAAACTGTAATTCAGAGGATATGGTCTGAATGATGTAGATTATTGCCGAACCTAGCCTCTTGACATAAGGACCCAGAGACATATGTGGCAAATCAGTTATCATAGAGCGTGGACTTGATTGCTTTGACCTCTTCACTATAAAGACATGTCTATTTTTAGCCCTGGACACAGCTGTTCCTACGGCAACAAATGACCACCTTCAAAAGACGCTCGGACTGCAATTACAGTTGTTTTTACAGAAGAACGTGCTGTACTATAGAGAACCATATTCATAAAGTTATTCAATATTTATAACTGAAGAATAATTTTTCACAAGAATATTAAAGGTGCACTGTGTAACTTTTCTGGTAGAGGGTCCAGCACTTGCTCATTGTTGTTTGTTTCTGAAATGTTCTACAATGTGGCATTTAATTTAACTATATCCATGGAGGTTAAGTCACCAGGTCAAGTTACAGGTCAGATCTGTGGACAAGTGGAACTCCTCACAGTCAAAAGGCCTATTTTTGCCATAGTTTTGAGACGTAAAAATATCTGTAAATGAATAAATGCAAGATATGTTTGTTTAATGCCATACTGTGGAACGTACCAGGCAAAGCAATAACATCACCATGGAGACAAGCAGATGGCAGGCTCTCCACCAGAAAATTTACACCGTGCACCTTTAAACCTTGGTGTTTGTTTTTATTTTGTGTGTGTGTGTGTGTGTCTGTCTCTGTCTCACAAACATGTGAATGAACCAAAACACAACTCCAGGTGTGTGTTTGAGGACGTCCTGTTACGGTTTTAACTTTCATCCATCAGTGACTCATTATCATGGGTTTTTCTTACTTAAAACATACATTGTTACTGTGAGTGAGCTCGCCTCTCCATTGATCTGACATGTAACTTAACCCCATGGCGTCAGTTATAAATAAATAATGTAATGTCGTACTGTGGAACATTCCAGGTAACATCTCAGTGGAGAGAAGCTGGTGACAGTGCACCTTTAGAGAGGGTTTTTCACTTCTCTGGGCCATCATTTGTTAAAAGGCATATTTAGGCTGAGTTTTGTCTCAAACACAAAACACTCTGTCATGTGGTGATACAGGAAGTGCCTCACTGTGTTTTTAATCTCTGTACACTTTCACAAAAATCGTTGGATCATTATTTTGGTTTTCTGAAAGTTAAAACAAATCTTTACTGAGGAATTCTAAACTGAACATTGAACAAGTGAACTAAGAATGTTCAGTGGTTAATATTTGTACGTTGAACCTCTGCAAAAACATAAACAGAAGTGAGTCTCATACATGTTCAACTCAGTGTGTCTCCTATGAACAAGCACGAAGATCAGGACATGAACCTTTCAGATGACTGGACCACTGAGACAGAGACACAGAGAGACAGAGACACAGAGAGACAGAAACACAGAGAGACACAGACACAGAGACACAGAGAGACAGAGACACAGAGACACAGAGAGAAGCACAGAGAGACAGAAACACAGAGAGACAGAGACACAGACACAGAGAAACAGAGAGAAGCACAGAGAGACAGAAACGTTGAGAGACAGAGAGACAGAGAGAGAGACACATACACAGACAGAAGAGAGACAGAGAGAGAAGCAGAAAGAAACACTCTGATCAATAAAGAATAACACAGTCGATGAAAAACTAGGAAATTGTAAAAATCACTTCATTGACCAAAAAGGCAGCAACAGACAGACTTCATATAATAACAGGAGCAACACTGTTTTGTTTTCAATCATTTAACTAATAATTAAAATATTTAACTAATAATTAAAACATTTAACTAATAAGTCATTCACTATTTTGCTCATCCACAGCAGTTATTATTAGGGCTGAACAAACAAGTGAACGATCAGGATATATATATATATAAAACATGTTTATATATATTTACATGTTAAACAGCTATGCCCTGCAAGTGATCAGATACACTGCAGGTATCATAAGCTGGCCAAAGGAGGCGATACAGACCACAGATGTTAAGACACGAAAGCTCCTGACCATGCATGGAGGGTTCCAGCACCCTGAGACTGTACGCAAGCCGGAAGGACGGAGGCCGAGGACTAGTGAGTGTGGGAACCACTGTCCAGGATGAAACATCCAAGCTCCTTGAGTACATCAAGGACAAGGCCCCGCAGGATGAGGTGCTCAGAGAATGTCTCAGACAGTGGGGTCCAGAGGAAGAGGTGCTGGAGGGACCATCATGGCAGGACAAGCCCCTACATGGGGCGTACCACCAGAACATAACAGAAGTGGCTGATATCTGAATAAAAATAGTTAATTAATAACACCAATATGAAGACAATTTTACAATCACAGTTATGGCCAGATTCAGGACTATTCAAATTTCAGTGTTATCCCAGGCACATTTCTGATGATGCAACAACATTATAACTTTGCTAGAACTTGGGTTGGGTAATAAAGTTTGGGTGTATTTGAAGTACATGACCAGTGGCCTGTGCTACACCACCAGGAGAGACACAGATTCTGCTGTAGAATAAATCGTAATAATCCAAGAGTAAAAGAGAAAAGACACGAGGCTGAAGTTCTGACGCAGGAGAAGTTTATTTCCATGAGCACAGGACTCGACACATTGTGACAGAAGCAGCAGTAGCTCATATTTCCTCATTCAAACCACAGACTGTATAAAGAAGTGCACTAAGAGAGTGTGACGCCACCCACAGCGTTCAGCTCCAGTCAAATGAAGCTCACCGAGGCTTGCAGTTACAGGGGTGAGTTTGGAGCAGGTTAAGATTAGGAATTTATTTACAGGCAAAATAGCAAAATAAAAACTCCATGATCATGTAGAGATGGTTTTAAGACCAAAAAAACAAGGCTCACAGCAGCAGTAACACAGAGAGGAGGGACAGTTTTTCAATCTAAAATCAACTGGAGTCAGAGTCGATGGAGCCGGAAATGCGCCCATGATCACTTCCTGTTTGTCCATTTATGTCAATTTATATATATCATGAATCTATTCAAATAACTGGATAGGGTATTGCTCCTTGTAGCTGCCTCCAGTTGACGTAGTGACATTCACTGGAACTTCAGTGGAAAAAAATCCTCTGGGCTGAGAGAGAATTTTACTCATAGAGGTAAAGTAATCACAAACTGCTCGTGTTCGGCTGACAGGGACCTACACCTTTCAAAAATGTCAGATTTGTTGGTGAGTTTTACTTATATTTAGATCATAAACTTTTTCTCAGTCCAAAACCCTTCAGTTGTCTTAAAAAACGTTTTATAATCCTTGGCTCCGGCTCCGCTCTAGCTCCTCTCGCTCTGATTGGGCAAAGCTATCATGTGATACACGAGCCCGCACTCCGTGCGCTCACATGCATTTGCGTGTGCCTGCGGGAGAAAAGACACTGCTGCACATGCTCAGTCGGCCCACAGCCACCGGAAGTACCTCACCGGGCTAAAGGAGAATCTGGAATCACGCACCATTGAGCTCGATCCATTGACTTGAATGGGCGGCCATTTTGAAAACCCCGGGGCTTGATATATACACAGTCTATGATTCAAAGTAAGTCTTTATTTCTATAGCGCTTTTCACAGACATATGTCACAAAGTCACTTTACAGAACATTTATAGATTCATTCTTCTTTTTCTCCACACCCAGTGATGGTAAGCTACTATTGTAGCCACAGCTGCCCTGGGACAGACTGACGGAAGCGCGGCTCCCATGCCAATCGGCGCCGTCGGTCCCTCCGACCACCACCATCACTCACACACACACACCACTTTCATACTAGGCAATGTGGGTGAACTGTCTTGCCTAAGGACACAACGTGCACTGACAGATAAGTGAAGGGACGTTTGAATCACCCTCTGTGTGTGCGTGTGTGTGTGTGTGTGTGTGTGTGTGTGTGTGTGTGTGTGTGTGTGTGTGTGTGTGTGTGTGTGTGTGTGTGTGTGTGTGTGTGTGTGTGTGTGTGTGTGTGTGTGTGTGTGTGTGTGTGTGGGTGTATGTGTGTGTGTGGTACCAGCTACTAGTTCTACTTCGTTGTTCACAAAATCTGTGAAATAAAAGTCTCAAAATGAGGAAGGTTTGAGGCTGAATGTTTATTCATATTTGATCAGCGAATGAAGCTGTAGCTTTAGGCCGGAGCCAGATTCACTGCTGGCCCTCAGACCTGGTCCTTTTGGGAGAGCTCCGAGAAGTCAGGTTAATCCGGTCCTCCTGAGCTCTCTTTCCTGTGGATACAGGCTGATGATGGGGCCCTGGAGAGCTCGGTGGCCCTGGTGGCCGTGGGGAATCTGGTGCCGTTGTTGAGCCTGTCGCCATTGTTGAGCTCGGTGGCCCTGGTGGCCGTAGGGAACCTGGTGCCGTTGTTGAGCCTGTCGCCATTGTTGAGCTCGGTGGCCCTGGTGGCCGTAGGGAACCTGGTGCCGTTGTTGAGCCTGTCGCCATTGTTGAGCTCGGTGGCCCTGGTGGCCGTGGGGAATCTGGTGCCGTTGTTGAGCCTGTTGCCATTGTTGAGCTCGGTGGCCCTGGTGGGTGCTGATCTTGGGACTGGAGCTCCTGTGTTTTTTGCTCACAGACGCCTGCTCCTCGCGTTTGCGTTTTAGCCCAGAAGTTTGTCCTCTTGAGGCTACCATAGTGGGAGGAGCCTTAGAGGGCGGGGCGGGGTCTTGAGCACTTTGACTCACTTTGGACAGAAGCCAGTGGCTCTGCATCACACTGAAAGACAAGACACAAACACAGTTAGTGATTTAAAGGAGAAATGCTGCCCCCGTGTCTGTGTACACTGGTGTATGTAGTATGTAGTATGTAGTATGTAGTATTTCTGTGGTGTAAAGTGCTTTGAGCGCCTGGAAGGTAAAAATGTGACCATTTAATAGTCTTTATGCCACTGCTGCTCAGGTTTTGGAGGTAATGCATGTCTCCTCTCTTCTTTCTGCAGTGTGAAGTTTGAAACAGACATCTTCTGGTTGGTGGGCGACCACTCAACCTACTGCACCGCTGCCTCCACCCTTCTAAAGTTCTTCTGCTCATTCGTTTCCATTGACATATAGTGACGTGTGTGTGAGGGGACAGTGGGTACTCACTAGGCGCCGCTGAGGTGGCTCATGGTGAGGAAGGGGTGCTCGAGCACTTCCTTGGGGCTGATCCTCGTCTCTGGGTTGAGGTCCAGCATACGTATGAGCAGGTTGACAAAGACGGCCCGGTCGTGCTTCTCTGTGGGGGTACAGGAGGCCAGAGGGCCCCGGGGGTCTCTCTGAAACACACACACACACACAAAGGGTCACATCTGCACCTGTGGCTCTACTTTACAATGTTACAATCACAAGTGTGACATCAACTGCCCCAACCATATGTGAGCTGAATCTATCAACACAACTGTGGCTGGAGGTGGGGATGTACCTTGCTCAGGAGCACTACAACACTAGTGTGAAGCAGCAGCACTTGAGTCGGTGGCCAACACCTCTTTTGTTTTTCAAAACCCTAACACACGACTTTGAGACAGTTTAGGACTCAACCTGTGCCCTGAGTAAAAATGAGGTGTGCTCTCACCTTGTGGATGTTCTCCAGACGTGTGACCCTGCGAGTGGACAACAAACCACTCTGAAACAGGAGCACACAATTACATATATATATATATATATATATATATATATATATATATATATATATATATATATATATATCACACACACACAGAGTGATGACACGTATAGCAGTGAACAGAAGGAGCTGGACGTACCTTATATGTCCACTTGTCTCTGTCCTGGGAGTGGCTGTGTAGAACATTTTGGTCCGGAGACCCTGGTCCAGACAGGACTTGTGAGGGTGTCCCACAGTCTCCACAATGAGCCTCATCATGTCCCGCTCGTCTCTAGCCTGAAACAGAGGAACTCCCAAGAACATCTCAGCGGCAATGCAGCCCACGGACCACATGTCTATGGCCCCATTGACAGGGGCCCGGAGGAGGCTCTCTGGAGCTCTGCACACACACATTATTGACAAATGAACAAATGATTTCAAACCACAGTTTAAAATACTTTGATTATAGCGAGAACATACAGGAGTATGCTAC